GGGGACGGGGGCAGGGGCGAACTGGGAGAAATACCTAACGTGCGGGGCAACGGCAGCAATCCTTGTACAGTATAATATTCGTTTATGCTCAAAATTTTAAACAGAGTGGCGAATTCAAGCAGATATCTACACTTTTTATGATCGACGCCCGGGAATTCCGGCGAGTCAAGTCCGCCATGTTGTTTACTAAGGTTGGTTAGCATTTAACAATAAAACAATACCCTTCGATCCATGGGGTGACAATGCTACGCACACGTGCAATGAAATCCGTATCCTAAGAATAGAATAAGAAAATGTGTTTTCCGTTGCAGTGCAAGTTTGTATATGGTAAATCACGTGAACGGTACAGAGGGAATATTTTTGTAGGCTGTAATCCAATGTTTTTATTCTTTATAATGTAATTCAAACAAATAAAAAACGTTAACTCGTAGCCATGGATAAGATTTAAAATGTGGTCAGATTTCAAGTGACGTTGAAATTTAGTACAAATGTGCAGACATCGTCGAAATTAATTAACATTAAAATCAGCATTGTATGAATGTCGTAATGTATATATATATTTGATGCCGGAAAAGTTTGTACAAGTGTGGCGAGACTCCCATAGTATTGTTTAGTAAGATTCATTTAAATACGAATTTGTAAGACGTCTGTTACGCGGAAATTATTCTATATTCACCTCATGTAAAAATAAAGCATAGTTTTCTCATTGTTGTGTTATGTTACCTCCATGGTTGTATCATGGATCTGGGTAGCCCTGCGTACAGTCTATGGAGGTACGCAGGGCTGTGTGTGTGTGGGGGGGGGGTCATCTATCAACCGAATGCGTCCCCGTACACGATCTAGGAGCTTCGTTGTTGTGTAGTCAAAATAATGTTACAATATGAAAACATGCACGCTTTGTCAGTTTTTGTTCAAAGTTGGTACATACATTATACATGTTGAGATACATGTCCATGATAATTTGTTTCATTTTCGAATACAAAATGACCAACTGGAAGCCATCTTGTTTTTGTTCTTTTAAAATTATACATGACATACAATGTCATGACAATTAGTTTCACAATCAGATCCAAGAAGGATTGTTGACTGCCTGCAATCTAGCTTTTTGATCATACTACTAATATAATCTCTCTTCAGTTTGGATACAAAAAATGCTTGAATAGGATATCCTGTTTAATTTTAAAATAAAACTGTTTATTAATACATGTAATACAAATTGTACATTTAGGTTTGAGATAAGAACTTATGCATACATTGTAATATAAACATATTGTGCCAAGATTTCCTAGTTTGTGCTTAACACAAAACAATATTAAAATTTTGGAATAAAATAATTAATAACAAGTGATAATGGGAGATATTTATTAAATTCAAGAACTGTGGATAACAACTGATTATGAATTTTAGTTAATATTATACATATACATGATATTATGAGGTTATTACG